GGGGGCTCTCAAATAATTAACCCCAAAATCATCCCCATTGTTGGCAATGCAAATCCTATCCTTCCTATGCTGTGTGCATCCAATTTGGTATCTCCAATGCAAGTGGGATTATTAATCGAAAAGTGTATTTTTGTATCATGAGGCAAATAAATAAAGGACAATACTCTAGCCTAGGCCAGCCTAAATTAAATAAATTGAATTCCAATGCCAATGGTGAAAATCGTTACCATTATTAGTAAAAATTTTATTAGCATAGGGCCTAGGCATATGCTAGGTTCATGTAATATTTGTATACATCGTTAAAAATAATGCTTTCATAATTTTTCTTAGGTCTGATTCACTCTTTGGCCTGTGGAACTCTTTTGAAAAGCGGCTACCAAAAGTTTTTTATCAGCAAAAGCTCATTGAGATGGGTGATTTCCTTGTTTCTATTAAAGTGAGTATGATTTATTTTTATTAATTTTTACAAATTACCAGTTATTACAAGTATGAAACTTAAGGACCTAGCCTAAATAATGTATTGAGCTAAATCACTTATTGCATGATAGATATTTATTGTAACAAAGAAAATAACATATCTGGCACTACAGTACAGTATTTAATAATTACATTTGCACTGAAAAAAAATCAAATAGGTTGTCAACTTTCATTTAATCCATCAACATGGATTTGTATAACACCAATATCCACGGCAGTATATTGATGTCTGTATTGATTGTTTATGTACTTTCGAATGTTTTTTATTTGATTGTATGTTATTGTATGAGTTGCTGGGCCCTGGAGGATAACAATACTTTGCACTGATCTGGTCACCCAGGGTAAAGAAGAAATAAATAATAAATAAAATGTTCAGTGGCACTATGACGATGGTATCACTCAAGTTGCACTTAATGAGGTTATACTAATACCCTATTCAGATTACACTCTGTTGCGATCGGTTGCGATGTAATCGGTGGTAATCCAAAACTGATTACTCCCGACCGCAATCAACGAACGCATTCAGACCAACACAAACAAACTTTACATTCTAGGGCCTAGGCCTCTGGTGGCTAGGCCTATGTTGACTGACCTCAGCCAAACAGTGCCTGTGGAATTCGTTGTGATTCGTTGCGATCGGCTTCCGTGGTAATCGGGAGTAATAAAGATTGTAGCACCCAATCGCAACGGGTAACAATTGCGATATCGATTACATATCGACTACTATTGGTGAGCTTTCAGACACGATTTTACTTTGCGATTGGGTGCGATTGGGTGTCGCAATTGCTACAACCGATCGCAATGCGATGCTAGTCTGAATGGGGTATAAGGTTATGTTAACATTACTATTTATTTGACAGTATATAAAAAGATTTTGAAAATGAATAAATAAACAACATTTTACATGTGTAAAAACTTAGTGTGAAGTGGAGAAGAGATAATATTTTAACTAAGTTACTTACAGATTGAGCCACAAATTGAAGCTATTCAGTTTTCCTTATAATTATTTGTCTTTTCTATACAAAAATATATATTAATTACCAGGTATTTGAAAGGTCTGCAAATGCTCAAAATAAACTTACGATGACATTTGTCATGTACTTGTACTAGATATATATACAATGAAATTTGTTAAGTTAAATTTGCTTGAAATTGATGAAGGAAGTACTTTCTTTTAATTTATACTTATTTGGTATTTTTACCCACAATTATAATAATCATTTTGTTGAATACTTTCAGGAATACAACTTGGCCGTCTGGCAGTGTTACGGCAGGTACCTGGATGAGTTCGGAGGTCAACATATAGAGGACATTGTCGATGTAACATCAGTGAAGGAAATCTTCTTCCCAGATGGCTTGGAAACTGAACATGCAAGTTTAACTGTAAGAACAATAACAACACTCACTTAAGCTAGTCTATTCCTATATAATTATTTGTGCCCTCTCGATGTGATACTTTTTGTTTACTATAAGTCAAACATTGATAATTTTTATTACAGTTACAGTGGAGTTGTATTTCATAGTCAGTCGTCAATTGCGCAGTTACAGATTTTCTCCAGACCGATACAATAAGAATAATAATAATAATAAAATTATGTCATCATAATATAATTAATTGAGCCATTTTGCAGAATGTGTAAAAGAAAACTGGAGCTTGCAATGATCGAACCCATATTTATGCCAGGTTTAAAAGCTGAGTACAAGCAGTACCCTCTAAAGCAACTATTCTTATTATTTTATCTGTATTATGTTATTATTTTTTGACAATTTAAAAAGAGATAAAGTTATTTTTCAAAGAATGATTATTATGTCACTACAGTAAAAAATCAGTTAAGTTAAAAAAAAAGTTTTTGTTTTTTTTTACTCTCAAACTAAAACTCACATTTTTATTCTATTCAGTTTCGGGCACTGTATGGTAAAAGCATCTGCAACTACCAATTGGTCCTGCAGTCGGATTCCAAGTTGCAAAATACAGAGTCTGTATGTAAATGTCTAAAACTGCTGGCCTTTCTTCGTCTCATTACTCAAATTGTCCTGCATAGAGAACCTCTTTGTTGGCTGGTGTATAATGGTGAGTATCAAAGAAGGGTAAAATATTACTTTTTTGTGGATAGTTCAAGCATACAATATTTGGCATTCCATACTGTAAAAAATTACACTAACACTTTAACACCACCTGAAACTTCATTAATTGCTTTTTAAGTACATGGTTTGATGTATCCTAAAATTGAATAAATGAAAGGAAAATGAAACGTTATTGTTTGTTTTTCATTGCAGGCACCATTCATATCTACAGTGTTTCCAGACTCATGATGACCCTAGGTCATTCTTCTAAGGTATTTTAATTGTAATTTAGTATTAATAATCTGAGATTAATATTTCAGTATTGGCAATCTATATTGGAATGGTCATCATTTGGAGATTATTCAAGCATTTACGGTATTACTATTAATGCTTTGTTTGAATTCGAAAATTGATATTTTTGATCTGACAATCTCAAGCAGTATTCAGAAATAGGAGGAGAATGCCTTTGCTTGTTGTATTTCCTCACCTGATCATTCCTGGGCACCGCCACTGTTGCCTTCATTGGTTGGGCCTCTTCACACAAGCCCCCAGTCAGTTTTCCCACCCCCATTATCCATATCTTCGGACACTCCATAGAATGACCACCACAGGAATGTTATGAATTAAGGTGGAATATGGAATTTCTTTATATTGTCAAAGAGAAAACATCAAAATGTTGGACAATAAAATTGGTCTTATTTGTTTTATCTTGTAGGTTCTGGAGTACCTTTTGTGGGCCTGTATGTGTATGGAGAACTCTGTTCCCTTGTTAACTGTACGTTATCTTCCTTGGAGGACGACTTTATATACGGCTGTATGTCAGTGTTATTATGATTGTAAGGCTGGTGTTCAGGCAGAGGTAAATATACTTTTAAACAATCATATTTTTCTAGTGTCTTTTGTGCAGACTCTCTCAATTTGTGAGGTCAGTTTTTAAATCAACTTTAACAGCTCTAAAAGCTAACAAGGGTTGTTACCTGCATAAATTAAAATACAGATAAGCAATACCTGTATATAAGAGATACATGCAATTATTGTATTATACATTAATTTTGCTTGACAAAAATTTAAATTATGTAATATTTGTATTTATAGTTCATATTCCTATCTAACTGTAACAATGTGCCTAAAATCATTAACCATAACATTACACATTTTCTTAGGATGAGCTTTAGTGTAACATTGTTTCAGTCATTTTGTAAAAAGACAAATAAAATGGGCTTCAACCTGACATGATAAATGATTAATATATTGAGTACAGCATTTGAATTGCATGTCACCTTCACACTACATAAATATTTATTCTTTAGAGCTTTGCAAGGCGTTCTCTTGCTAAAGTGAATGAGCTGAGTCAGCTAGAGAAGATCAGTTCCTCAGTCTGTAGTCCAGAAATTGACACTATTTTTAGGCAGGCAGCTGTTAAGGTAAATTCAAAAAAATGTTATTTTTTATCCATGGCTACATTTTTATTAATGAGATATATTTAAAGAAGTATACTTTGTGTTTTAATTGAAATTTATTTAGGCCTATATTAAATAAAAAAGTTTTTTCTTGTCCTGCTTTTTTTTCCCTTGCCATATTAATTGTTTATGTGAACAATTTAAGTTTGGTTTGAGAATTTTTTGCTGCTGCCCTGGATCAAAGGGGCACTCTTGCCCCCTCTGGGATTGCAACTGTCCTATTATAACATCGACAATCAAACGAGGGCTGGAAGCATTCCCCATAGCACAGGCTAAAGTGAGCGTGCGTAAAGTTTAATTTAATTCAAATATGATTTGGTTACTTGTAGCTTGGCGTCATGGTTTACAAGAGGATAGTGTTCGATACACGTAAAAGACCGAAAGGACTTCTGCGACCAAAAACACGAAGTAACATTAAAGATGCCCAGTCGGTAAGCTTCCATATTTTGATTCCTAACAGTAGGTGTTTTTCCAAATGGAATCAAGTGGAGCATTCCATATTTTTATTTATTTTTATTTTAATTACAAATCTATACATTATAGTCAAATCAATCTTATATTATTATAAGTGACAGAAATTAATGGATGAAGAGAATTATTATTTGAATTTGGTTGCGCTTTTCTTCAAGCTTTTCACAATACTATTATGCTGGTCTTTGGAAGCATTACTAACAGTGTTCATCCTCCAGTATTAGGAGTATTCTTGTCATGAATATATTCAACATTTTATGCAAATCTCAACATAGAATATTTGTAACCTTACATGTACCCATTTATACATTTGGTGGGAAAAGACGGATGTGGCATAGACAAGCCAAACCAGTCACTCCTTGCAAAAATTGATTTGTAATTGATCTTTAGTTATTAAAACATGGTTAAATAGTAAAATGAGAGCTGTAAAATGGTAAAAGAATAATTGAAATCCAACATTTTGTTATGAAGTTAAAGAAGTTTAAACAAACAACTGTTTAAAGAACAATGTTTGAGGCATTTCTCAGGCAGAAACCTTCACCAAATCATTAAAAATTGTTGTTTAACATTGAAAATGGGGAAAATAACAACATACCATGATGTATAGATTTATAAAGGTTAGTTTAGTGCAGTAAAATATATTTTAAACAAATTTAGACATTTCTACATTTTTTGGCCATTATCTCTGAAGCACGATTTGTGACGAGTGACTGGTTTGGCTTGCCTTTGCCACTGATGTAGTTAAAAGTGTCTTGCACAAAAATATTTGAATGGCAAGTGTTGAGTGCAAAACAACAACCTATTTGCTTATTTAGAGGTCTGAATCGTAAATGCTGTACCAAATACTCTGCAGAGCATTTTTTTGTCACATCTGTCTTTAGATATATTATAACAGTTAGCTTTTAATTGAGATACTACAAAATTCTTTTGACACTATTTTTTGCATTTATATTATCAAATCTTTTGTACAATGTTAAGATTTCTTCTAACAAACTATCATATGAAGAAACATAATTGGATAATTTATCTGATTATGATTATATACAAACTGAATATTTTTTCCACTATTCCAAAAAATATAGGTTAATCTTGATTCTTCTTAATATGATTATGCATAAAATATATATGAATATTCATATCCAATATTTGCATACATTAACATCTTATATTATCAGTCTTCATATTGATTTTTGTCATTGCAATTGGAATGAGTTTTTAGAAGTTCTTGTTAGAATATTTTTATCTTTGTTGGAGGTTCAATCCCTCGTTGTGCATTTTGCTTGTGTCCTAAGGGAAAGCACTTTACCTATTGTTGTCTCTCCCAGGAGTACAAGTGGGTATATCTTTAGGCTCAAACACAAAATGCGCTGATTACAACTGCCACATTATGGAATTCTCCCCAGGGAGCTAAGTATGTGTTCCATATGGTCTTGATGCAATGACCAGGAGTAATAATGTGAAGTGCTAAGAGGCCTTGTTGGCATTAAGCTCTATATAAGCCTAACATTTTATATTATTATTAAAAACATTTTTGTTGGTAAAACTTGCTGTTCATGTAGCCAACTGCTGAGGTTCGTGTGATGACAATAGTTGCAAGTGATGGTAGATTAATATGGCATAAAACGTCTAAACAGAGACTAGATGATCTGTTTAAGAAACCAGGCTCAGTGAGTAGAAGTCCCAACGTGAATGTAGTTTCTTTGCGTGTGTTAACATTAACTAAAGTACTGCTAAAAACTTCAGTCATGTTTTATTGATATTCTTCGTTTTCCAATTTTTCTTTTCTCAATTCTTCGTCATCTGAGATACTGAGTAATAACCCTTTCATCATTAAAATCTTTTCTATTTTTTCTTTTATTAATCACTTTTTTTTCCTTTGATACAAAATCATTTTGTGCTGTGTTAGCTCAGACATTTATTTGTCTTCAATAAATTTGAAAAATGTCAGCAGTCAGTTAGACTTTCTGCAATAAACTGTTTCTGCAATGAACTCTTACAAGTTCATGCAATCCTCATTTGTCAAGTTTTTATGTGACAAATTTGTGTGATTTGCTTATATGGGTGACAATTAATGACATCATCATGTTCATGTGTATATGGGTAAAACACAGGTATTTGTCACTGAAAATGTCCTATTCATAATTCTAATGAATACACAATTCTAAAGCTCTGTCTACACTATCAGTTATCAAACTTTGTAATGTAACTAAAGAGTCCACACTATCAAATTTTATTTTGATGTGACATGCCTAAATATGGTCTTGATGACATCACATCAGGACCATATATAGGCACATCATGACTATATATGGGCATACAACAGTTTTTTGTCAACGGAAATTTGATAGTCTGGACGGAGCTTTATATCTGCTGATATCAACAAGCAGTTAGTACTCCTAATGTATAACAATATCTCAATATCTTTAGAAATAATCTACAGTATGTGAAGTCATCTCCATGGTTTTACCTTTTTAAGTTTCATGTCCACGATTTTACCATTGAGGTCATGTACCGCCATGATTTCACCACTATGAGGTCATCTCCATTGTTTGTACCATTGAGATTGTATTGTGTTACTACAAAGACATTTTCACTTTCGTGTCAACTTTCATTGCATTCCATTTTTAACAATTGACCTGTCAACCTTTTTCAAACTTTCATTCTCAAATTGCCGTCCAGCATATTCCTGGCGTCAAAATGTTCACAAAGTTTTTCATTATTGTTTCAATCACAACTTACAATTTTTTTTTCTACATAATTAAGAAAGTGTCTAAAAAGCACCATGTAGACTTAGGTTTCTCTTCCATCAGTTGTACAGACTCATTGCACAGTATTTGTTAACAATTAACAACTTTTTAAACATGCACAAGACACTGTGATAATACTATTATTATCTGGTAATAGATGAGATATGTATTTTCTTGGTGCGATTCACACCGAAAATACTTACTGGTATCTTATATCTTATCTATTATTTTCTTATATTTAGTTCAGCCTTCACAGTTTATTTATTTCCTGAAATTCATCTATTCTTTATGTGTAGCAATCAAAAAGTATGTTAGTAGTAGTATTTTAATTTACATCCTTTCAGTGACATGCTAGGCTATTTTTTAATGAGCAGTAGTCACATTCAATATTTTGTTTTATAACACACCTAAATAGATACCTTTTGATTGGCGGATCTTGTAACATGTGACATTGGTTATTTACCCCATTTTGTCACTCATCATAAAAATTTAGTTTCACTGTGCATTTTTAGTTCCATTTGTGCATTCTTTCTATCCGTTTTTGCCCATTGTACGGTGCCCTAGGATATCAACCTAATAAATCTTTTGATTGGTTAAAGAGATGCTGGACTGTTCTATTTAGAAAAAGGGTAGATTTTCTTCATAAATATAAAATGACAGGAGCCTCCATTCAGAAAAAAGATGGATTTTTTTCATAAAATATCAAATGACAAGAACTTTCTATTTTAGGTGTGTTATAAAACAAATAATGAATGTTTTTTATTCGCACAATGGAAAGAATAATTTTATTCATTGAAAGATGAAGCCTCTCCTTCGTCTAATGGAACAATCAATCTTTCAACTCCCATTGTGGTCATAAACATTCATTATTTGTATAATGTTCAATCGCTTTTGTGAATTGTTTTACAATTCAGCTTCCGTGGCCTAGGACATCAGTTGAAAAATTATTGGCAGACATGTTTGAGGGCAGTTCAGCACAGTTTTTAGCGTTGTTAGATACGCTGAGTGACAGCACACGGCGCACATTGCTCACCAGCCCGCCAGCTTCTGATTCGGAGGACTACATTCTTGATACATTCACTGAAATGTTCTTTGCTGGCATGGAGATAATATCAGGTACAGTAGAATTGCAGGGTTCCAAGTTGGAAGAATTCATTTCCGGGAGATCTGTCTAAAACAAGCTTTTTTAGGCGATACTTTTTTTTATACCTTGTTTAGCGAACCCACCGAATGCAACTATTGTTGATTTCAAATAAAATAGACCCGCTAGCACGAAAAAATGGAAATGTAATAAAAAAATAAAAGTTTTTCTTTATTGTTCTTACGTCCTCCGCTGCCTTGAAATCTCCAAAGATAAGATATGTATATTTCTTCCTAATTACATAAATTTGAATCATTTAACCATCCCATTTTACATTCACCAATGAAATAAAATTTTTATTTTCTCCTTCATCTGGATGTTTTTGGCAAAACTATTTGCTAAATACGAAAACAAAATTTATTTTTATTTTCATTCTGCCCTTCTCCAGTGATCTTTAAAAAAATAAGTACGCGAAACAAGGAATAAAATAAGTCTCGCCTTAGCACATCAACTTTCTCTTGCTGCTTAAGGTGATATCGATACTGACTTCTATGAATAAATAAAGGACAGTTGTAAAAACATGCAGATTTCATGAATTTGCAGGAGATGGGTTATTTTCTGGGAGATTCTTTTTAGGTTGTGAGAGAGTGGGGGAAGCGTCCAGATTTCCGGAATCTTCCGCGAATTGCAGAAAAATTTGGACCCCTGGATTTGCATCATCAACATCTGCTTTTACATGCACCACCATATTTAAGCTACTGGCATGCATTATATCAAGCAGTGAAATACATACAAATTCAGTAGACTTGTATATTTTACTGTTTTGATGCATTTTATTTATTTTTTTCTTTATTTTCTGTATGTTTATATATTAAGTTTAGTTAAGGGGAAGGCTATTTATTAGCAACTAGCCATGATCACTGTCTGGCCTCCCCGAAAATAAAAAAATAACAAAACATGTGATATTCTTTGTAACGTTTGAATTCTTCTATGTAACAGGGGGAGGAGGTAAAAATCCCAGAACAGTTCCAATCACAATCAATGATGTGAATCTATGTGGTGTGGTTTTGGACGGCAGCCTAATGGATATGGCATCCAGGGCTGAAGATGGTGTCACGTTAACTGCTGTCGTTAAGTTTGTCAAGTGGGCTTACAATTACGAACAGTGGGAGGTGTATGACTTGATGATGGGACTATTGCAAGACAAGATGAGGGTAAGGTGTACCAGGAATTTTTGTGCCAGTTCACAAAAATGTCTGAAAAGGGGGGAGGGGGTCCAGAAGAGGGGCCAATAGAGACAATACTACCCTGGGGGTCCGGTCCGAATATTTTGTTTTCCAGACACCCTAAAATAACCTCTGAATCGTTATGGGCAATCAATTATTTCTTTTCCTTTCTTTCTTTCTTTTTTCTTTTTTATTAACTTTCCGAAAGGAGGTGCCGCAGCCGGCCTGGCCACTCTAAATCAGCCCCTGGGTACAGTCATAATAGAGTGAAATCTAATCTATTCAAGATAAAAATTTAATAAATGCCCCTAGAATTTTTTTCCAAACGATGTTCTGGATGCGAGTATATTTGAAGGAGAGTCTATTCAAATACAGTATTACAAATAAAACTGAGATAATGATAGTTTAAATTTAAATTCCATGTTCACAGACTTTGGATATTGTCAAATACACAGCAGAACTGAGAGGGCTGGAGGTTATCCAATGCATGGAAGTCTTAAACTTTAACAGAAAGTCCAGGAAACTCACCCACACTGAGGAGAACAGCACAAGTGATGCTCCGGCTACGCATAACCTTTCAGCTCAAGGTATGTCAGTTTGTAGTGGTGGAGGGGGCCTGGGTCCCCCTAAAATAAAAAAAAATGGAGAAAAAAAAAATTATATTTAAAGTTTGAGAGTGGCTATTTGAGGTCGTATAGTCCCTTTCTGGGCCTCCTCCATATCAAATTCCTGGATCCACCACTGACTTGCGTAGCCACAATTTCATGATAAATATTTGAAAAGTTTACATTGTGGTATGTGTCTCTACTCTACTTTGCCATGAACAGTTTCTCCAAGGTATTTCTTCGTCTCTCTATTTATTTAAATAGCTAATAATGAACATTTTCTTTCTTACGAATGCAGTGTCTCAGCGTACTGTTTCTTCTAGTGATGAGATGGTCCAGTTGGCAGAGGTTCTCTATTCCTGTATTCGAGATCCAATGGCTGTAGGTTCCTTATTATTTCTTTAGTAACATTCCCTTTCTTAAACAATCTCCAAAAGTACTAAAGCCTCGTACAGAATATTACATTTTATTTGACAAAAACATGTGACATGCATAAATATGGTCATGATGATATCACATCATGACCATATATAGGCACATCATGACTATATATGGGCATGCAACAGTTTTTTTGTCCAATAAAATTGTTTGAGTCTGGACAGGGCTTTAAAGAAATTAATGGTTACCATGTCAACATGATTGACAATAGTACACAGGCTCAGAATCATTACATTGTACTTTTTATAATATTTTTTTTTTTCTCAGGAGAACATTGATCGTGACATGATGGTGGATGCAACTCTGTTTCTTTGGTCCAAGTGTAAGGCAGTGTTTCAGAAATTCCAAACAGGAGCTGCGGATAGTGGCAAGTATCTACAGCGGATGGACCAGCCTGGAAAGGTAAGTACATTTAATGGACTTGTTAGATGAGGACAAACAGTGTTTTCGTGATCTTTCACACGAAACCCACAAGATGTTGCAAAAAAAAAAAGAGATTGAGATATAAATATGGCCACAACTGAAAAATATGCATTTGCAGATTCCATATATTATATGTAAAGGTTATAAAAAGCCTTAAACAAAACTGTAAATTGTATTTTCAAATGTTAAAACTTCTTATATCAGATGATAGCCAAACAATGCCTGCTATTAGCGATCATTATGGTAATTCATTAATCGATGAATGGATGGATTTATTTGGTGTAAACACCAAGAATAACCCACGAAAGTCTGAAGAAGGCTTATTTTCAGTGGGGACGTCCTTCTGGTGGTGATTGGGCAGTACACCTGGAGAAGTGACAATCCCATACTCTTTTTCAAATAGTGTACTGCGTTCTGTAATGTACATGGACCATAATGGACACAGGACCAACGAATTAAACGTCTCATCTGAAAGACGGTGCGCTATCGTAACCTGCATTTCAGCCCTCCAGTTGAAACACAAGGAAAGCAGCGATGGGAATTGAACCAGGTACCTAGAGATCTCCACGTTTCAGCGCACACACAGTGACTACCACCAGTTTAGCCGAATGAGCTAAGCTGCTCTCTAATGTCTGCAATATTTGTATATTTCAGTGGGTGCATATTTTAAACATCATTCACGAAGTGATGTACTGGTGCGGTTTGAATAACATCGATCCTGGCGTAACTGCTGAGGTCGCCCTTCGTTTGGCGTTAGTCCTTGAGAACAATGCAGCTCAGGAGAGTCAAGAGACAGAATCTGGTAAATTTGAATCAACTTCTAATTATACTCAGGAATCACAAGATTTGGGGAAAAAAATATGTGCAGGTTCTCTGATTGCACTATTAGACTCACCATTGATCTTACAAAAATTATCTTAAAATCATTTTCATTCATTTATGGATTTTAGTTGACAATAAAAAACAGTATAATCATACAAATCATATGAAGGTGAGAAAAGTATAGAAAATGGCAAGAAATTTGGAGGTACATTTTTGGTGTCAAATCAGACACCTTTGTTTTACATAATATTTTTATGGGTTATCTGCAATAGAATATTGACCATATGCATGTTTACCTTTTTTTTAGAGAAACAGAAAAGATGTGAAAATGAGGCCAATAATGCAAGTAAGTCATTAATTTTTTTAATAGAGACTTTCAAAGCAATTAAGCTTATGAGTCCCTCATGGTTAGACTCTCACAAACATGGGTTATAAAGTTTTGGTTAGTTCCTGTCTACTTTATTTTGGAGCAATGCTATTTTTTCTACAGTGTCAGCTTCAAGTAAATCTCCTACAAAAAGCTATGTAAGTGATGGTCACGAAACAGTCACACTAGGAGGACATGTTAGCACCTCCCTTTACACTGCAACTATACTATCACAAGGAGAGAGGGAACAATTGCTTACAGCTAGGGAGATCTTGACCAGGGCTCTACAGGGCATGTCCCTTGCCAGAGAAGCTGTTGCTTTGACTGATGGAAAATCTATTGCAGACATCAGTTGGATGAAGGTAAATTATATACTTTTAAATTGTTATGATGTTTTATGTTAAAATTCAATATAAAAAAAAATATATAATATATAATATATACCTTGGAGGTTCTTGGTAAGAGTTATTTATTATTTGTTATCATTTATAAGTCATCTCTCCTCTTTCTTCCTCTCTAGGAGAACAAAAAGACTACAAATGATGATCTTGAAAATCCAGAAGGGGTCCACAACACCTTGCGGGATCTCCACCTTGAGCTGCTCTTCATGTACCATCGAGTGTGCTTAAAGCTCGCTGCCATGGGACCAGATCCTGCAAGTCTTACTCAGACAAGGTTCAAGAGATCTACAAATCAGAAGAGCCAAATAGAGGTACGGAAATCAATATAGCAAGCAAATATAGGCGCTACTTTTTTTATACTTTGTTTCGCAATCTTATTTTTTTAAAGATCGTCAAAGGAGGGCAGAAAAAAAAAAGTATGCAGTATATAAAAATCCATATAAAGTGCAATCAGATAAAAAAAAAACAATAAAAATTAAGTATTGCACAAAATTACTAAAAGTAAGAATGAAAAAAGAATCACTGAACCATCAAGTTTTAATGTTTAATGCACTGTGTGTGTGTGCTATTGGAATAAAGTAATATCTCCGCCATTTAATTGTTTCCCTACAGAACCATTATTATTATTCCTGTATAAATTATATGGTTATTTTTGTATTTATTTATTATATGATCATTCTGTACATACATGTTCCTAACAATTAATAGTGCATCATAGTATCCAGAATGCATAACAGAATATATCAGCCTGAGGAATTAATTTCATCTGTATCAAGGTTGTTAAAGAAAAGTCACTGAACTATTTTAAGCCTTTTCACACATAGTCTCAGTTATTGTTTAGTTTTCCACCAATAAGCAGCAAGTCTCACTACCCAAGCATATAAGCATTCCTCTGCTTGCTATTATTCTCCTGAAGACGATTGAGGAACTCAATCGAAACATTGAGACATTCTCAACCAATAACAGTTCTTTGCAGAACTATCTACGGTGTACTGCAAGCATTAATATATAGGCCTATTATTACTTCACCATGCAAAACCTGCAAAGAATTATTTATAGTGTAAATTGTAAAAGTGTAACAATTTGTACTGGATATTGCATTTGTTCTGTTAACTTGTTTTCATTGTTTTATTGATTTTCCCCTGACTACTATTTTTTTACATTCCAGTCCCCAGGTACGTTTGATGAACTTAGAGTTGAGTCAATGAATGAACTAGAAGCCAAATGTAAAAAGAACAGCATCTACAAAGCTTTATTCTTCATTCAGAAGTCTCTGCAGAGTTTTAAGAAAAGTGGCTCAAATGGCAAACCGAAGCAGTTCTTACAGGTAATGAAGTCATAAACCTAAGTTGAGCACACCGTGTCATACGACCTTTGTACGACAAATCCAACGCTGCTGCCTGTTGGATTGGGGTTAGGTATGCGGGTCAGTAGGACCTTAGTTGAGTAACTCCCCTTTCCCACAATGCATAGTTCCTTTGGGTGGGGTATGTGAGTATTTTGATCTTAGTGGAGAGATGTCCGTCCCTACTCCCCGATGCATAGTTACCATTGTATTTTTTGCAGATGTTGGCTCAAGATGGTACTAAAGAAATTGAATTGAATATCCATGCCCTGCCCACAATGCAGGGTATTGCCTCCTTGTCACACAAACCATTTTTTTTTTTGCAATTGCTTAATATATATTATGATTTTTGCTCCTGCAATATAGGATGCTATAGCACTGATAACCAAAGCTCAAGAAGAAGAATACAAACTCTACAAGCTGAACACGTCCCCAAAGAACACTGGTAACAACACCATTCCCCCTCCCCCAGTGCTTTTATGCAGAACTGATAACTCAATGGTCTTCAAACCAGGTGTATTCAACCCAAAAGAAAAGGTGAGAACATTCTTAAATACCGTACTCGCGCGAATAAGCGCCCGGGCGCTTAAAATATTTGTTGCACTTTTTGAGGGGCGCAAATCCACAGTCCCAGGATTGATTGGATTATTGAGTGGGCGTTTATTCAAATTAGATTTGGGAGCTTATTCAAACGTGGCGCTTAAGGAAATTTTCACGTTTTCTTATTTCAGAGGGGCGCTTATTCAAATGGGGCGCTTATTCGCGTGAGTACGGTATATTCGTATTCTTTGCAGATTGGTTTATCACAGGGGAGGTGCTGATAAATAAATAAATAAAAATAAAAATATAATAAATATTATAATAGTATATATTGTTCTTTTGGAATCTAGAACAATCTAAATGTTTTGAACTAGGATGATTCATCCAGTCTATTTCGTGAATACTTGCCTTTCCCACCGTTTCTTTTAAGAACACCCCAACGTAGACTAACAATGCTGTATGTCTTGAAGCTTGGGTATGAAAATGGCGAAATTCTCCATAAGTGTTTTTATTTTTCCTAGGTTGGTTGGTATTCCTTGTTTGGCTGTTCAGCTGCTGGAAGCAATGTCAAAGTCAGATTAAATGACTATAACCTTCCAGGAACTGGCCAACAAGTAAGTGAATTGATTCAGATTTTCGAGTAGTGATTAACTGTATAAATTCAACTTAAAGTGTGCAGGGGAAGATTTAAGATCACTTTTTACACCACCTCATTTGAAGTCTTCCATGGCTTACCTCTTGATGGCAGATCCAAAATAGAGGGGCCCCAAGGGGAGCTTTTATAACTGAAGGACCCAGATCACCTGAGTAACACCATGGTTGGGATGAGGTGTGTAATTTTATGGTTATTATATGACTAGAAAACTGAAACCCTCAGACTTAAATCTATGTAATTTTATTTGTTTTGAAAAATTAAAGGTTGTGGGATGGTGGGGTGGGGGTGTGCTTGGGGTTTTGGCAGACTGTGCTCCAAGTTGAATCCGCTTCTGCCTCTAACTAATGTCTACCACTGGCAATAAATTATTTTGACATGGCCTGATTTGAACAAATTATTCAATATATAAGAAGTTTACTTATATTATTCCTACAGTATGTCTCTCTGTCATATCCAACCTCTTTAGAATATGCATAATTTGGGATTGGATTGGATTGGATTTATTCGCTGTAAACACCAAGGATAGCCCACGGAAGTCTATAAGAAGACTTATTTCCAATGGGGTCCTTCTGGTGGTGATTGGGCAGTACACCGGGAGACAATCCCCTACTCTTTTTTGAAAAGTATACTGCATTCTTTAACGTGCACATGGGCCATAAATACACACACGTGACCAACTGCGTAAACGTCTCATCCGAAAGACGGTGCGCTATTGTAACTTGTATTTCAGCCCTCCAGCTGAAACACGAGGAGAAGCAGCGATGGGAATTGAACCAGGGACCTAGATATCTCCACGGTTCAGCGCACTCACACAGTGGCTACCACCAGATTAGCCGACTGGACTTAAAGCTGCTCTAATTTAATAATGTTTCTCGTTTTACTTAGGTACCAGCATACGACTGTCATTTGCATGTGTCTGGTCTAGTAGCCAACGAGAAGTATGTGTTTGCTGTAGCTGCTTATACCGCTGATGGCAAGTTGATCGGGGAAAGCATCGGGCAGACCAGTAAGCCGATAATGGCTTCACACACTATGCCCATACTCATGAGTTGGGCATTCCTCAGTCAGGTATATTACCTATTTTTACTGGAATTAAATTGTACATTTTAGCCTTCGGTTCATAGTGCTGTTAAAGATAATCACATGATATGTTACCGTAAGATTAGATTGTAGATGATTAGGAGTTTACACCAATGCCTTGTCCTGTTTAAGCGATGACCACATTGATATTAGGGAGCTTACGATTGCACAATGATAGTAGCATGTAGAACGTAATGACGTCACCAAAGGTTTTCTACGCGTGTGAGAACGTTAAGTTCATCTTATCGTGTGGATTTTAGGATGCTCGGTAGGATGGTCATGCATAAGAGATTCCATTCTAGCGTGGCGTCGTCGTACAATTCGAAAGCTAAATTTGTAATAGTGTGTTGGGAAAGTAGAAACTAGCCATACTGCAAAGATGAGTCCTCTCTCTCAAACAAAGTCATCCCATTACTCCTGAAAACAATTGTGAAATTTTGAACAGTTTCATTCCAACAAGTATATTTTTATGCCCTTTTTGAGTTAGGTTGCTTACCAAGTTAGTTGCTATGGAATCTCGCAGCAAGCTACAGGTGTATTGTGGGATCATTTTGTCGCTGTTCCTGAACCATGTGAATCAGATGTAACAACTGATTGTGCGCAACAGGACTTCCAATTGACACTGAGAAGGTATGTCTACCCTTCGGAGTTCTGATGTACAACAGATTAACAAATAGTATGTTAATAGTACAGTAAGGCCCAAAGGCTTGTGGTGCCATATGTTTATTGTAGCTGTAGTAGTGGTTAACATACCTTCAAATCCTATTGCACTGGTTTTAAATGCTGTGACTCCAGGAATTTTTCCTCTCTACTACTTAAAAAGTATCTATATTCTCTAAGTCTTGTAATGAGAATTAGTTTCAAATATGCTTCACATTTATGTCATTTAAAAATGCTTTTATGATGATATTTAGTAGTCATAATTTTAGAGAACTCATTATCATTCCATCTAGGGGTGGATCCAGATTTTTTTTAAACAAGTTGGCACCCATTTCATGTAGGCTTAGATGCTATGTAATTATACACATAAATATGTATCCAATAATTGTATGATTTGTGTTCAGTATATGCTCTTATGAAATATTGTAACTAAAACTATACTGTATTTGTATGTCATTTTATTTCTTTTTCTGTTAAAAAATAATAGACAGCAGTGGCATAACTTGGGCAAGGGGGCATGTGTTTTTTCTCCCTAAATCCACCCCTTTCATCCTCTGTTAAGTGTGAAGATGTACCCTTCATAAAATTTGGTTTGTTCAACTTTTTTTCCACACATCTTCCATCTAAGCATAGATACTTCCGACTGTGCTACATCAAAATATAACAACAGTGCTATTCTCTTACCCGTTAGGCTGAACACAAAAACAGCTAGTGTAGCATCGCCGGTATTGCTACGTATGTTTCTTACTAGTATATTCATCTACGTTGATGTTAACACAAGAGCCGGGGCGATCTATTGTGACAAGCTGTGTGATGAGGGACCTTATTACAAAGGCCAGGTAATGACAATTTATAAAACATTTTAAAAATTGGTAGAAACTTTACTGTTGTTTAATGGTTTAAATATTACTGGTTAGCTGTGATTAAACTTGAATTTGAATTTAATAAATACTGCAGAATATTGTGATACCATATTTGATGACATTTGATTGACATGCTTTATAAGATAAGATAAAAACTTATCGCACAAAAAAATTACAATATAAAAATATATAATACAACTTATAGTCTATATGAATAAGATTATTAAAAAAAAAGGATATATATAAATAAAGAATATGGTACTTACATTTACATTACACTTATTCAAGCTAACCCTTACAACAGTGGCACACACAAAACAAAGTTATGGCATGTCCAGTTACATCAAAAAGTAAAAACTATAAAACAATATATTTTAAATATAAGTTAAAAATACAATCATTTTTTTTACAATGGATACCAAATATATAATTGTGGTGTGTTAATCCACACATAGAGGAATTAGTCTCCATGATCAACATAAACAACTTCATTCACTGTTTACACCTACCGCGTTCACATGTCTTAGGTCACTTGCGAGCACACGATCAGCTCGTGTGCCGTGCCTTCATGCGAACAACTGCTCTCGACCGACAAGCCACTCTCGACCTACTCTCGATGCAGCTCGCTCTCAATCCATGTGATTGTAAGTGGGTTGTCAGTGAGCTGTGACCTCTTATGTGTAAAAGGCAGTCAGATACAAGCATCTCTCCTGGGTCAAAGTAGTTAGCTTGTTTGCGCGAATATTCGCAATTAAGAACGCTATCACAATCATTGCGGTTTTGACTGTTGTGTGTTATTCTTCATGTTAAAATATCCCTGTCCTCCATGTCAACTTCAACTGTATCTGGCCCACGAGCCTGTTGGACCGAGGAAGAAATTAGAGACTTGATAGAGATTTGGGCAGAACCCGAGATTAGAATGTTAGTGGAAGAAAAGAAGTCAAAGAACAAGACAAAAATACATGGGAAAATCACAGCTAGATTTTAGTTTGTGCCGGGACTCTCCGACGACAGCCCGGCAAATCCAAACAAAGTTGCAGAACCTAAGAAAACGGTACAAACAGTTTTACCTAGAGGAGGTGAATAAATCAGGATCTTTGGCCCCAAACTGGCCGGTTTACCACAGAATTGGGAACATCTTGCAATTTCAAGTTACCAGCTACTTTTGCATGAGGAACAAATGAAAACAAAAATATTTTTTTTGTATAGTTTTCTTTGTTTAGATTAAATGGCACAAAACTAAATGTATTGTATTTACTTAAGCAATTGATTGACTAACAAAACAGATTGTATTAAGTATTAACGTGTTATCGTCCCTTTTTTATTTAAAGTTGCTGCGATTGAGAGAATGTGAACGTATGTTGGTTGCCTTGGAGTTAGCCGGTTGGTTAAATGAGTCAAACCTAGCCCTGCAAGCTGTTGTCCAATGCTATGGTTTATTAGCTCCGATTATCCACTACAAGATACCATCTGTACCTGTAATACAGGTAAGTATATAGAGTATTAGAGGTGTCCAGTCCAGGAGTCTCTTAGAGCATAGAGGAATTGAGCCCCAGTTGTGAAAAAGAGTTAAAATCCTGGAGATATCGAAGAGAACTTCAAATTTCAGGTGGAGATGTAGATTTTCTTGAAGACAGAGAGATAAACGAAAATTCTGGAGACTCTTGGTCAATCCTGGTGAATAGCTCTGAAGTACAATTTTTCCAGTCCAGAGGATAAAAGTAATCATATGATATATAAGCATTAAAATATTTTAGAACATGAAAATATGCTGCTATACTTCCTTTTTTAAGCAATCATATCTTTTTTTCCAAATAAAAAAAAACAAAAAAAAACTGTTTTCTACTTCAATATTATGTTTATTGATTTATTTTTTTTAAAGGTTTTAACGTTTTGCCATGCGGTCCTACAAGAGATCCCTTCCAGTTTACTGATGCGTCGTCAGCAGTCTGTATGCGACAGTCTGCATCACATGGTTGCCACCATCACATACCACATGGCTAAAGTTCTTCGGATTTGGAAGCAGAAGCCTTTAGCCAACCTTATTGCTGACACTGGAAAGAAAATGCTTGCAGTAGAAAAGGTTATTTTATTTTATTTTATTTTTTTTTCATATTATTTTATTTTTATGGCAATGATCATCAATATTAATTGATCATTTATTATTATGTTGTTACTCTTTTAATTTACTGATAGTTTAGATAAAAAAATTGAAAAAAAATTGTAAAGAATAGCTTTTTGGATTGTTTTGCCCTAACTTGCGTATTTGGGAACGTACCGAGTATTCGGTTGGTTCTTCTGCCTTTGAAAGCATTCCCTCCAGTGTGCTTCCTCTAGCACTTCCAGGCGCTCATCCGCACATTGCTATTGGCTCTTCCTGGGCTATTTTCTCCAGGATTTCTGTAACCCTAACATACCATGCACTGTCTGCCGGGGTTGTCAGGTAGGTTTGTCATGCGCTGAAGTGGTGAATGAGGTCACTACCCACTACATACATAAGTTATAATTACTGTTAATTATTTAGTGATTTTTCACTAATATCTGACAAACATTTTCATTATCATTTAGGATCCTGAGAAATCTAAGACTCAGGAAACTGTAGTTGACTTTGGAGACAATGTTGATGACGGTGGCCAGGCACATCGCAAGAAGAAAGTACGACGAGCAGGTCACATGACGTTTAACGTTGAAGGACCACAAAACGAAGAACTACGGGCTCTGGAGGCTCACATGCTCAAACTAACCAAACTTGGTAAAAAGAAAACTTCTAAAATTTACGATATTGAAAACTGTGTTTAGTCTATTTTCTGAATAATTTACCTGGATTAACTGACTATATTGTCATTGTTCCTTTTGGATTTTCAGTGCCCTGGGATAGACAATTCTATTTTCTTTATAGGGGTGTTCACTCTGTCTCTTATACACATCTTAAGCATTAAAATATTTTAATTAAAAAAACAAAAAAAAACAAAAAAAACTCTATTTTCTACTTCAATATTATGTTTATTGATTTACTCTTTTAAAGGTTTTAACGTTTTGCCATGCGGTCCTACAAGAGATCCCTTCCAGTTTACTGATGCGTCGTCAGCAGTCTGTATGTGACAGTCTGCATCACATGGTTGCCACCATCACGTACCACATGGCTAAAGTTCTTCGGATCTGGAAGCAGAAGCCTTTAGCTAACCTTATTGCTGACACTGGAAAGAAAATGCTTGCAGTAGAAAAGGTTATTTTAATTTTTTGTTTTCATATTATTTTATTTTTATGATAATGATCATCAATATTAATTGATCATTTAATATTATGTTGTTACTCTTTTAACTCACTGATATAGTTTAAATAAAAAAATCGAATAAAAAAACTGTAAAGAATAACTTTTTAGATTGTTTTGTAACTTGCATATTTGGGAACGTACCGAGTATTTAGTTGGTTATTCCGCCTTTGAAAGCATTCCCTCCATCGTGCTTCCTCTAGCACTTCCAGGCACTCATCCACACATTGCTCTTCCTGGGCTATTTTCTCTATAGCAGGATGTTTGTAACCCTAGACAGGTGCCCATACTGGGCACTGTCTGCCGGAGCCAGCTGAGCCCGGGACATGTGTCGGGTAGGGTCATCACACCCCTGAAGTGGTGAAGGAGGTCTCTACCCATTACATACATAAGTTATAATTACTGTTAATTATTTAGTGATTTTTCACTAATATCTGACAAACATTTTCATTATCATTTAGGATCCTGAGAAATCTAAGACTCAGGAAACTGTAGTTGACTTTGGAGACAATGTTGATGACGGTGGCCAGGCACATCGCAAGAAGAAAGTACGACGAGCAGGTCACATGACGTTTAACGTTGAAGGACCACAAAACGAAGAACTACGGGCTCTGGAGGCTCACATGCTCAAACTAACCAAACTTGGTAAAAAGAAAACTTCTAAAATTTACGATATTGAAAACTGTGTTTAGTCTATTTTCTGAATAATTTACCTGGATTAACTGACTATATTGTCATTGTTCCTTTTGGATTTTCAGTGCCCTGGGATAGACAATTCTATTTTCTTTATAGGGGTGTTCACTTATGGGAAAATGGCAATAGTCGGTTTATCCAGGTATCACACTCTTAGACTACTAACATCACAGGATTGTTTAATTTGTAAACATATATCTGAATTTACTGATTATTGCTATTTTGATCATTTAAGGAAGAATAGCAATATTATCTAGGAAATTATTCATGAAATACACTAGAACCAAATACCAAAGAAGCAGATGGAACTCCCAGAGTTTCAGCTGTTAGCTGTACCTTTATATCTTTAAATAAGAGACCATCTGTAAGTTAAGACCCACTATCCTCTAGTAAAAGTTGGTAATCATTTGTTACAGAAGTATTTATGGATATTTAAGTGTTTTGTTTTTTGTTCATTAAAGTCGCAAATCCCTTACTTGAGCCGGCGTCGCCACCTTAGCAGTGCACGGTAGTAGAGCCGAGGCTTATCCAAGGTGGAAGCTACCGGAGCCCAGCATACTGTCGCCGGAGTGCCTGCGTGTACGCGGTAGTGGTGGTGATGCCATCTCAACAACAGGAGTGCGCATTTTTCATGTTGCTGCTTGGTTTTTTCCATTCTTTGGTCTGCCTGTTTTTGAAGGCTTAATTTATCAATTATTTATTTATTTAATTATATATTTTCTATTTGTTACGGTATTTATTTACTTTATTCATTTATTTATATTTATTTAACTTATAATAAATAAAATAAAAAATATTCTGATTAATATAGGCTCTTTAATATAAGATATAATATAATTTAATTTCTTGGTCCTACCTTTTTTCGGCGCCTTGAGACGATTTTATTGTGGAAGGCGCACTACAAATATCCCACCATTACCATTACCATTATTTATGGCCTAAAATATATCCAGTTACCACCATATTTTTTAAACCAACAGAGGTAACAGTACAATTTGTCTAAGAAATATTGTTAACTGATTCCATATTTCTATTTTCAGCTCATAGTAGCAATGAACTGACTGGCTCTGAAGATCCAAACATCTTGCATGCATTCATTGCAACACTCCCAAGCAGGCATTCTTATAAGGAAGGTAAGCAACATGTAGAGGGCGCTTTTCAATGTATTGCAACAACATAGAGGGCCTATTTATTTTAAAACCTGAATGCACATGCTTACAGAAAGGGTTATGATCAGTAGGTTGTAGTACACATTTTGACAACATTCCCAAAGAGGTATGCACAGGATTAACTTAAGCAATGTATAGAGGGCACCATTTATAGCAACATATCCAGCAGACATGCTTCGAAGACTGTCAAATTGTAGACGAATATTATTTTCAAATTGTATTGTGAGTTTTTAATTTAGTTACTTTTCTGTTACAGTTGTCAAGTTTCGGCGACGTGCCCGTTACCTGGAGTTCTTTGTACAAGTCATGCAGAAAGCACTGAGCGAAGGTTTAGTGGAACTAGCAACTGAATGGTGTGATGACACAAAACTGTGGCTTGTTAGGTAAAGTCTATTGCGTAAATACTGGATAAACTGACTAATTGCCATTGTTCCTTTAAATGCAATTTTGATTTTCAAGGTGTGATTGATTTCATGCCCACATAATGTCAAATCACAGGTTTTTGCCACATTAAACTTTATTGTGTTGAAAGAGCTTAAAAAGATATTTTTTGATTTGACAAACAAGATATAGAAAACAGTGTGTGTTAGTTTCATTTACACTATCATCCCCATTATTATTTTTTGTGTTACAACTATAATAGCATGTATTTATAATGTATTTACTTACCGTAAAACACAATGAAGAGTACATTAATATTTATAACAGTCGCAACAATTTTTTGTAGAGAATACAATACAGGTAGCTCATCATTGTCTTCTCATGAAATCTTGAATATAAAATATTAACCTGTTTGTTTGTTAAAGCCATGACTTACTATCTGTTGGAAAAATGTTACATTTCTAATTTAACTTATTTCAGGCGCAATGAGCAGCTTTCTTCGGCTAAAATGTTTTTAACAAAGCAGCAAGGTGTTTTGACAGTGGCTGGGGATGACCCTAAGAAGTTCGCTGCTGCAGCTATGGAGTTTTCAAAGGTAAAAATTCATTTAAAGATTTATATGTCAGCTCATAATGCAACATTTATATAATATTGCAATAAATTGCCTCTGCGCTTTATATTATTACTGCTGGTCACTGGATCAAATACCTCATTATAAACATCAACAGCTCCCTGGGAAGCACAAAGTCGCTAGAATCAGCGCTTGGAATTAGATCCTACTAGGTACCAACTCCTCCCAAGTGGAGAGAGACAAACGTAGATCCTTGTCCAAGGGCACAAGTTCCGTGTACAGCAAGGTTTTGCACACACTCGTTCGTAACCTTCAACCGCTTCCACTACTACTTGATGTAAATTTTTATATCTGGTTGAAGATAGATACAGTAAATATAGATTATTGGTTTTTTTTTTTTTTTTGTTGAAAACTTCCAAGTTAAATCACTGTTCTGAATAAAGATTCTCAACCTAATTGTCCCCTGTATACATATTTTTTTTTATCATTACTTTTTTTTTTTAAAAACACATTACACTAAAGATTCACAAAAATATAAAGTCTGTTATTCGTATCTTCTATATTGCCTTTGAAGATCAATAAACCTCATCACAAATCACCAGATGGAAAGAGTCCAAGAAAGAAGAGAAAAAAGTTCCAGTTACTGGTTAATCTGAGATCAAATTCGAAATTATCAGAGACTGCCAAGACGACCCAAGAGGAGAAGGAATTGAGGGTAATTCTTGCTAAATAATATATATGTATTTTATTATAGAGCCCTGTCACAGTCCATAATTGATTTTTAATTCAAAATGTACAAAGATATATTAATTACCCATTTATAGTCCTGGGAGGGAAGATAGAAAGAGAGAGGAAATGAGAGAAAAAGAAGGTATGGCGAGGTAAATGAAGATTAATGGTGGTGAAGTCTGATAGATCAGACCACCTTTCCAATGGTATTTCCAAACACTTTTCAATTTCTCTTTCAGTCTTTTGAAATTCTTGATAGAGCTTTCCCAGAATTCTATCACTCAACTAAGAGGCGTCAGAGATTGAGGAAAGTCTGCTCCGATGAATTGCCATGGCGATGCCAACTCAACATTCTCCAAGGGCTTTGCTTCTTCGCTCAGTTTCTTAACAAAGTTGAGAAACGTAACAAACTTATAGGTCCTACATCAGGAGATATTTATAGGTACATACACTCAGTGGAAGCTAAATGCTGGGCTCAGGAGGAAATTTTTTTTTTTTGATATGTTGTTTGATTTTTCTAAGACCCAAAAAGCATGTTGGACAAAAAAACTCGCAAGTGGTTAATAAGAAAAAGTTTTTTTTATATTTAATAACTTGCGAAAAAAGGGTAGTTACACCCCTTTTTCCCCCAGTTTTTAAATATTCAAAAATTAGTATCTCATTAACCGCTCACAAGTTTTTCGTCTAATATGCTTTTGTGTCTTAAAAAAATCAGTTGTACAACATATCAAAATTTTTTTTTCCTTCAGGACCTGGCTTTAAAAACTAGCATCTGTGTCTTCATCATAAAAAAAAAATAAAAAAGTCTCAGCAAAAAGATTACATTTTGTTTGAAGATCTTGATAATCTGAACAAGGATACAATTTAATTGTAACTTGTCATATTTTGACTAATCATGAAATATCTTCACCACAATCATCAGCATCAGCAATCATTGTCAGCATTGTCTTTGTCATTGTCATTGTTGCTGCCTTTATCATCATAGTCATCATCTTTTTCATCATCATCATCATTATCGTCAGCAACGTACCACCAGAACCGGCAAGATATGTTATTTTTCTAATAATAGCATGTTAGTCGTAAGTAGTGCCATCATGTCAGCAAGGCTTCATGTTCTTTTAATTAGAATGATATACATGAATATATTTTAATGTATTTCCATTCATATTTTAATACCATAATCATCATTATCACCATGTTATCATTATCAACATTGTCATCAAAATTGTCATCATCAGCACCGTTCATATTTTAATATCATAATCATCAT